GATGACCTCTTGAGCTTTCCTGCAACAAACCACAATTGCTTCAAAAGTATAGATTGCCAACTAGATGGTGGGGCATAATCATGGGGAACTGTTGAAAATACCTTAGCCGTAGTGACCATTTCTCGGACCAGTTTGAATACGTTCTCTTTATGTAGATAACTAACTATTTTGCAGACCCAAGGCAGCTTAGGATCTAGCAACAACGACACTGCCTCCATCAAGATAGCTGTTGAAATGCTAGCTTCTTCAGGAGTAACTAAGAGCTGATCCCTTAAACGGTTCCTGATGATTTAAATCATGAGGCAAAACTGAATAACTTAATAACAGAACTGACAAAGCCAAGATAGCGACAATTGGTCCCAGTTTGATAGAAGAAGGGCTATTGCTTGGATATGCTCTACAAAATGAGAGATGACAAAATATATATATTACCTATTCTGGTGTATAGCTTCGATACAGGTAAATGCAAGTTTCTTTACTCTAAAATCCACCAAATTATGCTTAAAGGAATAGTCCAAGCCAGAAAAAAGGCTGACAATGTCACCTGTCATTTGATGAGAAGTTGTAATATATCAGTAAGCAAGATCCCAGTAATTATTGGAAAGAAATTAGAGAAAAGATTGTCTGTGAAGCAAAAAAAAATAATAATACAGTGGATATGTGTGAGGATGTAAACAGCAAATGGGAGACTAAATTTGTGGTGAAAGGGATATTCCTCACACAATGTTCTAATTTTACTGCTCGTAAGATAAACATAATAAACAAGAGTATGAAAGCCATAAAAAAACTTATTAAGCAAAATGAAGACTTGGAACATGCTCCCTCCTTACATAAGAGTTACCAAGAAAGGAAAAGCACTCTGATCAAACCCATGAATAAATTGATCAAAAGTGTCAACAAAAGAAGCATGCATAGATATTGGAAATACCACTGCTGTCAACGAAACTCTGCAGTAGACGACAAGTCTCCACAAGTATCAAAAAATCTCCCGAGTTTTGTGCCTTGAAAAAAAACAGAAACTGCCGGAGGAAACTTGAGCCTGGCTCAAAGCAATGTCTGGATGTAGAAAAACAATAAACAAGTAATTAACCATAGAACCATTATAAGACCAAAAAAGACTGTAGCAAACATAATAGACCAAAGAAAAGTACCTATCGACATTCTGGCAATTATTCCCATAGGTTTCACAGAAATCATGCCGCACCTTCGAGCGCTCAATGGCCATTGATCGTCGACCTCTAAAGAATTTCTGCAGCCAAAAACCAATCAGCACCTTGCCCATCAGGAGCATAAAAGATTGAAACAAACTTTTCCTCTTAGCCACAACAAATGCACTTGTCCACATAAGAGAAGGGAAAAAACACTTTGAAGTGTTGCATTTGCAGTTCCAGCTAACATTTTGTAATGGCAATGGTTCAATCTTAACACCCAAAACAAAACCCACAAGACCTGTACCGCATGACACCGTAACAGGATAAATTTGTTCCAGAGGCTAAATCTAACGAGGACAATAGTGTTATGGAGATTTAGAAACAGCAAGTAGAAAGATTATTTAGCTCAAAGATTCTACCAAAATGAAACCTTTCTTGCAAAATGACTCAGTATGTTTGTTCTACATTGCTTAGA